CAAAACACATTCGGCGATAATGAATTTAATTTTAAGTGCTTGATCCGAATACTGTACATAAACTTTCTGAAAAATTGTGATCACACCAATGGGCGGTTACCAGTTGAACAGCGTATTTTTCATTCACATCTCCAACAAAATGTTAATGAAAAACAATTAAGCTTGTTGACTTTTTTTTACAATTTTATATCAATTTAGTGAAAATTGATTTTCATGCCGATGGCAGCGAAAGAATTCTAAAAGTTCGCATTCGATTAACAAATAGTTGTATTTATACGATTTGAATGTATATCATGAGTGGTATCGTTTTCTGTGTGGTTGAGCGCACTAAAATTCCGTTACACGCTCCGGAATAGTTTGCTTGCGCGTTGCCAGCATTATAGGCGATCTTGATTTTCCCAATAAAACAGATGGATACATTTGTATCGTGATACGTCTTCTACACATTATTGTTGTTGTTGATGATTTAATGGACGTGATTAAACACAGCAAATGTTTCGCATGAATTCCATAGTTAAGCGGTAAAATTTGCCACACTTGAAGTTCAACAGCATATTGCTAACAATTCGAAAAATTAAATTGATTCAACTATAATTTCGATCACATTAACCATTCAATGGAAATATTCTTCATCATCGATTCTGTTCTGTTCAAAGAAACTTATGCAAATTAGATTTTAAATTCGGTTGTATGTGTGCGCTTATTTTGTATAGTACTTTGTATCCCATTTTAAAATCACGATGGAACAACGAAAACAAAATGAGATAAAGATGTGAACCAAAGATGGTTCAAGATTTGTGTCCTCGATCTCACGATAAATGTTCCGTGTGTCAACGATAATACACGCGATCATATACATACTGAACCGAATTTGGTTTTTTTGTTGCTTTTTCTTCTTCAATTCTCCTACAGAATTTGAATAGAATCAAGTAGTGAAACGAACACAGAATAATAACAATAATAACCATCCAGCCGTTAATGATTCAAAGCCTCTCCACCATATTCATATTGGAGTGTAAAACTATTTTTGTTTTGGTTTCGAAAAATGACGACACACGACCAAAATGCTGATGTAATAAACACTCTATATCAAACAGCATGCTAACATAAAATATTTGGCATTGCGTGATCGCTAGCATTTTTAGCTATTTTACTCTCCATTTTCGATATAGAATGATGACGTTAGTATCATGACTAAAGTGTAAAACATAAATCCATATTAAGTTTGTTCGAATGCATAATAATGCGTTTGAATACGAATTTAATTGCATCAAAACGTTGATTGGTCGAACCCAATGAACGGACACCAAAGTGAGATTGCTCAAATATGACCAATAATTAGTTTAAACAAAGACAAAATTTAATTAAATGACATGATAAAATCTTACTGTTAAACGATGATACATACGTGCGCATACACACACACACACGTAAATGAAGCATGAATATTTCATTAATTAACGAGTTTTTTCGGTGTTACACATGTATGACACAGTGCTTTGAAAAAGGCAAATAATACGTAGGTTGCTCCATAATTTTTTTTAAAATGGTACTTATAGTGTTGCCCGATGTAAACCATTGTCATATTCGTAAAGTTTGATGTTTTGGTATGTATTCGTGCCCTGAACCTTTTGTCGTACGAACGCTATTTGTATTGTTTACAGTGACTGGTAAACTGCGACTCAACAAAAAAATGAATTTTACACGTGAAGATTTTCGTAAAATGATTTACTACGATTTTCGAAGTAAATTATCTCAACAACAGTGTTTCGATCGACTTCATTTGGCCTTTGGCAATGAAGCACCAACCCTTCAGACAATTTATAACTGGTACCGAGAATTCCGTTGCGGTCGTAGTTCGCTCAAAGACGAGTTTCATACAGGTCGTCCAAAATCGGCTGTTGTGCCACAAAACATCGATGCTGTCAGAAAACTGATTATGGAAGATCGTCATGTGACCTACCGTGAGATTGAGGCATCTTTGGGCATTTCATCCCACAGCATACATACAATTTTGCATGAACATTTAGCCGTAAAAAAGATTTGCTCTCGTTGGATCCCACATAAATTGACCGATGAACAAAAAATGGCTCGTGTGAGTTGGTGTGAAGAAATGCTCAAGAAATTCAATCGTGGTGCTTCAAAAGACGTTAATAAAATCGTCACTGGTGACGAATCGTGGATATATGCCTATGAGCCCGAAACGAAACAGCAGTCGACTGTATGGGTCTTCCAAAATGAAGATAACCCAACGAAAGTTGTTCGAGCAAGAAGCACTTCGAAGCGAATGGTCGCCTGTTTTTTCGGGAGAAGTGGTCATGTGGCAACCGTTCCACTAGAGGATCGTAAGACCGTCAATTCTGATTGGTATACCACCATTTGTTTGCCCGAAGTGTTTGGTGAAATAAGAAAAAACAACCACCGTCGCAAAATAATTCTTCATCACGATAATGCGAGCTCTCACACATCTTTTCAAACTACTCGATTTTTGACCGGTCAAAACATCGAACTGATGGGTCATCCACCGTACAGTCCTGACCTGGCACCCAATGACTTTTTTTTGTTCCCAAGCGTGAAGAAAAAACTACGTGGTCAACGATTTTCGACACCAGAAGAAGCAGTTGAAGCGTTCAAAACACACGTTTTGGAGATATCAGTTTCGGAGTGGCACGAATGCTATGACAAATGGTTTCATCGAATGCAAAAGTGTATCGATCATCTCGGGGAATATTTTGAAAAACAATAAAACCATTTTCGACAAAAAACAACTGTGTTATATATGTTTTTAAAAAAAATTATGGAGCAACCTACGTATAACGCTGACATAAAACAATAGCCAGAAGAGCAGTCACACAACTATGAGCCGTTAAAAGTCGAAAAAAAAAACAGAAATCAACGACGCACACATAAATTATGTATCTTTAGACATTTCATAGCGATGAATAACAACGTTAAACTTGCATGAATTTTTCGCGAAACAAGAACAAGCGCTACGATCAGAATAAGTAACAATATTTTCAATTAGATTGTCAAACAAACAATATTAAAAAAACGCGTGCTTTATACAACATACATATACATAGACCGTGTGTTTATGCGATTGTTGGTAATGTTGAATTCTTTTTTTTTGGTGCTTTGTTTCTATGTATTGTACTGCGCCACACCCCACTCGTAACACTCAAATTTTGTTATTCCCATTTCTCTCTGCGTTGAAATTTTCGTCAAGTTTTTACCTTTACATCAAATTGTAAAGAATGTCATATCGTATCGTTTTTAAGATATTTACTACCAATTACCACCTAACTTTTACTTTTTTATGATATCTTCTCGAATGGAATCGCCTTATAATCGATTACACACCATGACCAAGTTTCGTTGCAATCCAAGGTTATATTATAAGGGTTACAATATGTAATTTCGATGGCTTTAAAAATATATATGTATATGTCCAGTTTGTTTTGAAATTGCTCATCGATGTAGAAAATCAGCCGGGAATACTCTATTTTTAAAAGGGAGAGTCAGTGACTACTCTGTATATATTGCCTTCGCTAAACCCCATTTTCGAATAGTTTTTTTTACAAAAAAAAACGCACAAAAGGCATCTATGAAATATTTATGGGCAGGTCATTTTTCGCAATCGCACTAAATTGATGGTTTGCCGGTTCTTTGCATGGCTCAAATCATACACTCAGCTATTGTATGAAAGTCTGAACAAAAAGAGACATTTTTTTGGCTTGATCATGGTTAGCTTGTATATAAGAACCTTTTTTTTAATTCAATAGCGGATCGGTCAATTTAAGACCAAGCTAAAGGAGCATCGTAGATTGTTGTTGTTTTTTAAATCGTACATATCGCTTGTTGGAGCTATAATTAAATGATCGTAAAAAAATGTGACCTAGGTTTCTATGATTTTGTTTGGAAATGGTTCGTAATCTCGTAACGATTGCAAGCAATGTCACAAATGACAAATCATTCATGAGTCGATATAGCGACTGTCTCATTTCGATTGCTTTGCAAAATAAAGCATGCAAGATAACTAAGAATACACAAATGGAATTATCTTAACACACTTGTAGATTAATTTTATATTCGAATGTGTATGGGTCTGCATATACGTGTATATTATTTATTGATCATTCACACACACCGAGAATCGACACCGATTAGGTCAGTTCGTAATTGTGAAGTATTTGAGTAACAATAATAAAAAAGTAACAGTTATTAAGTGGAGATATTTTCAGATTTTCAACGACTGTTTGTAATGTATTTCGATCATTTTTGATGGTGTAAATGCGTCGAGAAAATTATTTATTCATCCAAACAAACTGAATCTGTATCTCATATTTTTTATGAATAAATGTGGTAACGCTGGATAATCGTGACGATTGAATGACAGCCAGTTAAACAAGAAATCAATAAATAAGAATGAATCCTACCGATAATTATGAATCACATGAATAAACACATCGGGATTATTTTGATGCGTTTGCAAACGATAATAACGAATTAATATAAATAATATGAAATAATCGCCTTATTTTACCCTCGTTGCTGATTTTGTGCGGAATTAAGCCGCATTTTAGTCCGCGTAGATAAACAACATCTTGAATGCAGTTATTTTTGAATTTAAGGCTGACGCCGGAAAGATTACATCATCATTCTATGGCAAATAATAATCTTTTGTGGCTCACGAAGTATATTTTTGTTTAACTCTCGTTTGTCTCGACATTTCGTTTATAAATTTATTCCGTGCGTGTATGCTTTTATTCATGTTTACACTTACTTGCGAGCGTTTCTATATGAAATAAAACCATTCGCGTGAAAATGTACTTACGTTACTAAATCCAATTGCAACATAATATTACTTACGCGACTTCTTTTGAATTTCTATTCAAAATCCGTCCAAACCCTGAAAAAACACATTCTGACATTCAAATCTTTTAAAGTCGTCTTTGTCATAACATTACAGTGGCTAATAAATCTTTTGTCTTTCTTTTCAGAATACCGACATTTGGTTCAATTCATTGAAATTAGACCAATTTAACGAAACGAATTGATTAAAGATTGAAACGTGACGAAAACCAAAATGCCGGCCGAAGCGAAGTCACCGACTGCAGCATCGGCACCGCTATCTGATGCCAATGCACAAACACCGAAAAAGAAACAGTCGGCGGGAAAAGCAGCTCTTGCCCGAGTAACGCTGCTAGATGGATCTGTTCTAGATGTTACCATCGACGTAAGTTTTAATATCTCCGTCATTGAAGTGAAAATAGAAAAACACATTATTTCCATTGTTTTTTTTTTTATAGCGAAAAGCCAAAGGCAAAGATTTATTAAATTCGATTTGTGCCGGTTTGAATATTCTGGAAAAAGATTACTTTGGTTTGTTGTATACAACACCAATTGATCCAAGAGTGTGGCTGGATTTAGAGAAACCGGTAGCAAAATTCTTCAAAACCGATCCATGGGTTTTACAGTTTGCCGTTAAATTCTATCCACCAGAACCGGCTCAATTACAAGAAGACATCACACGTTACCATTTGTGTCTGCAGGTAAATTTTCAAAAATATGTTGAAATGAATCGAAATTATTGACGCATTGATGATTTTCAGGTCAGAAACGACATACTGGAAGGACGTTTGCCTTGTTCGTTTGTAACACATGCGCTACTTGGTTCATATTTAGTGCAATCCGAATTAGGTGATTACGATCCAAACGATCACAAAGATCGTAGCTATGTATCAGAATTCAAATTTGCACCAGATCAAACGCCCGAATTGGAAAACAAGGTGATTGACTTGCATAAAACACATCGTGGCCAAACACCGGCCGAAGCTGAACTTCATTATTTGGAAAATGCAAAAAAATTGGCAATGTACGGTGTGGACTTACATCCAGCAAAAGATTCAGAAGGTGTTGATATTATGCTTGGAGTTTGTGCAACTGGTTTGCTGGTTTATCGTGACAAGTGAGCAATCATTTATTGAGCTTAAATTTCAATTAAAAAAAAATAATTTCGAATTTATATTTATAGATTACGTATAAATCGATTTGCATGGCCAAAAATTTTGAAAATCTCCTACAAACGCCATAATTTTTATATTAAAATTCGACCAGGAGAATTTGAACAATATGAATCAACGATTGGTTTTAAATTGGCCAATCATCGTGCTGCGAAAAAACTGTGGAAAGCATGCGTTGAACATCACACATTTTTCCGTTTGATGACACCCGAAACGGTTGAAAGTAGTCTATTTCCCAAATTGGGGTCGAAATTTCGTTACTCGGGTCGAACAATGTACCAGACGAAGAAAGTACCAGTTGATCGGCCCGCACCACAGTTCGAACGAAGTTTAACAGGAAAACGATTAACCAGTCGCAGTATGGATGGTACTTACACAACTCTTTACATTGTTTTTTTTTTTTTTTGATTAATTGGGATAAATTGATTTGAACATTTTTCAAGCGATATTTTAATCACATCATATTTTTTACAGGTCTTGCCCTTGAACGCAAGGAAGACAAAGACGCCAGCAAGCGACATACAATGTCACATCCACCAGATCACATACCCGAATTGGATTCACCACGTCAATCGCGCAGTCCATTGAAGAAAGGCAAAAAAGAACAGGTGAGCTTTATTCAATAATTTAAGTTGTGTTTGATTCAATTAACAGCATTTAAAATAGGATAAAAAAATTATCATTTTTTATAAGAACACATATATACAATACCAATTTTCACCTCGGTTCACAATTGTGTTTTAAAACACAAAATTTAACATCAATTCTTTCATTATAAATTCGTTTCTGGAAATAATTTCTTATCTCATAATTATTAGAACTTCAACTATTATATTATTATATAAATTCACTTAACATAATATAAACACAAAACACACATACACACACACATGTCATATGTGACAGCAAGAAGCCCATTCATAAGAAAATCATTTTTTTTATAGATTTTTGATTTGAAGCTAGATATTTTGGGATTTATTTTAATTGAATGTGTCGGAATAAAAACTCAACTTCATATCTCACTTCCTCCTGCTCACACTTTTGGAGGATCCTTCAGGAGAGAGCAAGAGGTAAAATGCGAAGTTGAGTTTTTATTCTGACACATTCAATTTAGTAATTTAAAAAAATACATAAATTCATAGTTCATAGTTTATTTTGTATGCTAGACACATTCTGCATTTCATTTTCATTTAAAAAAAAAATTAGGCTCTTGCAGTTTATAGACAACGAATTTATTAAAAATGTCGAATTTTTTAGTTGGAACACAAAGTCTTGGATCGCGTTAAAATGTTTTGTTCATGTTATGGTTTTGATTGCATTTGGAGAGATGTTGTTTGGTTTTTTTTTTATTTTAAGTTAAGAACATTTTGAATTCGAAAATCATTTCATGGAATGCAATTCAAAGTATTAATTTTCTCATATTCTTTCATCGTTTACGTTTTCTGACATTTGGGTTTTGTTTTGTAAAGTTAAACAATAAAATAGAAATGCAATGAATTAAGTTGAAATACACCAAATAGATGGGCATATGTCATTCTTTAAAAAAAATGTTCAGGATTTTGGTTTCATAATTTTATGAGAAAATGTTAAAATGTTAAAATCCACATTAAGTTAGTCGATTTTGGTATATAAGCTAGTTTTTCTGTGTTCAATCGATTATTGTATCAGAAATTATTCAAATGAAGTTCAATGACCAGACATTATATATGCGATATTTTCAGGCAGCCGATCAGCTCAGGAAGCCAACGTCAGACACTGAAATGGAGTGAAAACAATAGAAGTGATTGCTATGATTGTATAAACACTTGCAATCACTTCAAAACAATCATTTCTATTGTATTCACTCCATTTCAGTGTGTGACGTTAGCTTCCTGAGCTGAATCGTTGGCCTGAAAATATCTCAATATAATGTCTGTCAACGATTTGTTTTTATTGCGGCTTCATTTGAATAGGTTTCCTGGTCAAAATCGATTGTTTTTTTTATCGTTTAGTTTGTAATTAAGTTGAGTTGATAATATTGTGCACATAACATCGCACATAAACACAATCACTAACCACAATTCACTTCGTAAATCGAATATTCATCGATATTTAGTTAAAGCGTGAATCAAGTACTGGTACTGCTTCGGCATCGTCTCAGAGTTCATTAGAGGGTGAATATGAAACCGGTGCCATCGGACCAAATAATACACTAATCGCCACTACTTCCACCTCGAATCAGGTTAACATTGATAACAAACTTAAACTTCTATTTAAACACATTTATCATTTTAATTTTACAATTTCGTTATTAAGTAATTATTTTGTTGTTGTTTTCATTTATTTCATTTCGCATTTTTGAATTGAATTCGTCTTTTCGGTTTTGCCTCTTCAATATTAGGTTTACTTTATTTTTTGTTTTGTTTTTTACCTGTGGTTTCCTGTTTGTATTGTGAATATTGTACTTTCAACTTTTGATTGCATTTGCAAAGTGTTTTGGATAGCGAAAATGAAAAAAAAAGATTTGTTCAAATTGCAATTCAAATTAAAATGTATCAAAAGTGAAATACACAATCAGCCACAGTGATTCAGTTCAAGCTTTTGTCTCGTTGTTTGTTTGTTTGTTTATTTATCCATTCTGTTTGAATTAGATTGCCTCTATGCTTCAACCAACACACTTAATCCAGTAGATTTTGGTTTTGAATCTTTCGGTGGGGACTTTTTTCTATTTACCATTAAGGGATATTATTTTTCTTTAGAAAATTCGAAAATATGCTTTAGCAAATATTGGACGTGATGCAAAGGACACCCGATCAAATTTATGTTTTTCCGATCGTTGTCCTTTTCTCACATGAGTCGAAACCATAGTCAAAAACGCAATTGAAATGTTTGATAAATTCAAAGGTTTAAGAGCCTTTTGAAGTGAACGTGCAGTATAAAATTAAATCATGATTCATGTCTTCGTAAAATTGATTAGGCTACATGGGCTTGGTCGAGCCATGGATTTGCATTTGCACTATGGATAAGAGTTCATTCATAGCACCGATAAAGTTGTTGTTTGAACAATTTGTTAAAATTTGGCTCAATTTTGGTGAATTCAAAACAAATTATGAAGAAGAAATAAAAAGAACGACGACGAAGAAAGTACTTTCTCAAATCAGGTTTCTTCACCACAATTAGGCCATATACTATAAATATCTTACTGTTTTATCACATGGAAATTGTTGAATGCATGCGAATTAGAGTCACGCAATTTCGTTACCGTTTCACTTCAATATCGTGCTTGTGTATAAATATTGATTTTTTCTTTTCTTCTATTAAACGCATGAAATTTATATAAAACATGTTCGTTGAAATGTGCTTTTTTTGTATATTCTCTTTTTAAGTTTGTACACTACTAAAATTAAATAAATTGTTATTAGTTAATTGTAATTCCGTACGTTCTATCGGATGTATTATGAATCTAAGATATATACATATATATTTTTTTTTTTTGAAATGTCATTTCGTTTAATGTTATAAGTGTTTTGTGTGATTTTTCTTGTACAAAATATAGAAACCTGTCGGAGGTGTTGCAGTACTCCCACCCAGTGGCAAATCTGGAAAGAACAAAGAAAACGAGAATGTTAATGGTGAGCATTTCTAATAAAAGTGTGCACATTTTGAATATTTGTTTAAACTGGACATTGTTTCAGGTAATGATGCCAAGGAGACACCAGTTAAAGGTGATACACCAGAAAAGGATAAGCAAGACAAACGCAAGGTAAATTGTATGCAATACAGATTAACGTTAGAATGCCGAATGTGTTTTCGTACTGAGTATATTTCGTTTGATTATTTTTCATCCATTTCTATTTGTATTGCTCGCTTGTAGGATTGCTCAATTGCAATCCTCAATTACAATAGCATAGTTTAATTTTGAAGTTTTACAACATTTTTGATATCAATATTTCGATTTTTCAAGTATTTAAAATTGTTGGTTTCACAAACATTTAGTTGATTTAAAATCAAGACTTTTTCAATTCAGATTTTGACTATTTTGAACGTTTAAAAACAAGACGTAAACTTTATTGATTTTGTTGAGTGAGCCGTTTTGTATAATTTTCGTGTTCCGTTTTTTTTTTTCTATACCGATGAATATAAATTGTAGCATTTAAAAAAAAATCGAATGTAAATGGGCTCCTCATGATAATTGCGAGAAAAAAAACAGTTCTAGTGAATATTTGTATGTGTCAGAGTAATTTGTTTTGTGAATCATATCACAATGAAAGAACAACAAACAAACTAAATTTACACACGTACAAAAGCTGAAGATTTATCAATTTACTTTTGAGTTTTGCGCAATTTTTTTAAACACTTTTTTCCTCGAAATATTCGAACTACAACCAATTTTATTTGCGAAATTTACTAGAATCGGATACAATTTTTGGCCGTTCCAACACATTAGGATTATCAATATTTTGAGTTGTGATTTTATTTTTCCTCAATTTGTTTTTTTCTTTCTTCTTTTTTTCTTTTCTTTTCTCCAATGAAAACAAAAAAAAAAACCATCCGCGCAATCGTAAATACCTCGCTTGAATTGTTTATTCAAAATGAAAAAAAAAATCAAAAACAAATGACAAACAAATTAGGTGGGTGGCATTTTCTCATCTGGTCGTAAATCACCCAAAGACAAAAGCGATAAGGAAAAAGCTAAAGAAAAACTTGCAATCGCAATAACTGATCAAAAACTCGAAAAAGATGAAAAACAAAAAGAAAAGCCCAGCTCACCAAGCCATATACGTCCATATGAATATACCGAAAATGATGATAATACCAGTCCAAAACGACAAACAGGAAATTATCCAGGTGCCTTCCGTTACGACATTGATCCGGTGGAAAAAGCAAAACGCGATTCAAAGGGTGCCCAATTAAGTCCAAACTCTCAGAAAAAAATTGAATATGCATTCAATTATGCGCCAGGCGATGATGACGCACTTCGGCAACAGGCCGAAAAACTAAAATCAGGTGAATTGAGTCCAAAGAGCAAGGATAAATTATCGAAAACTATTGACATCTCAACACCGCTTAAAGCCAGCAAATCATATTCACCAAATAGTGGTGAAAGACCAACCGAATTGGCAGGCCTATATAAACCGACCGGCGAAACACGCGGTGATCCACACAGTGGAGCTTTCCTCGATGCCGAACGAGAAGATTCAAAAGTGCCGGTTATTGCCGCCGTTGCACCTGATGCAAAGAAGAAACGAGTCAAAATTTTGGTGCTCATTTCAAATCTCGATCCAAAAACCAAGCGCATTGATACCGCCAATCCAAACGCCGTTGTTGAACATTCAACTGGCATTTTAACCGAAAATGGCATTGAAACTAAATATGGCCTATTGAGCCCAGAAAAGAGTACACTACAGATTCTTAATAAGAGTGGCAACACTGAAACGTATCAAGGTTCAAAAGATGCCAAGACCGGTAACATTCATTTTACATCCGGCGGTGTAACGGATCCGGTCAGTGGACACATTGACAACTCTCTTGGTCAAATTGTTTGTATTGCACCTCAGGACAAATCAGTTATCGATGTAACGGGCATCACTGGTAAATTGGATGCACAAGGCAATGTTGATATTGCCAATGGTGCAATTGAACGATCACGCGGTCTTTTGGATTTGAATAATGACACCATTGATACAAAATACGGTATCATCGACTTAAAAACGTGTGAAATAAAATTGATCGATCCAAAAACCGGAAAACCAACATCGAAGAAAGCTAAATATGATAAAAACACTGGACTATTTACAATTCCAGGTGCAATTGATGCAAAAGGAAAATACGATCCAAATCTGCACCAAGTGGTTGCGCTCGGTTCACAAATCGATCCAGTTGTTGAGGTCACTTCGGTCGTTGGTAGAGTTGATAAGAAAGGAATCCTTGACTCGAAAACATCAACAGTAGAAAATACCACGGGACAAGTAAATGGTAATAAGATCGATACAAAATACGGTCAACTTGATTTGGTCAAACATACAATTACATTGAGCGATGGAAAAACAAAAGATTTCAAGGTCGATCCAGTCACCGGACAAATTATCATCAAGAATGTCGTCAATCCGAAAAATCCAGGCAAATCCGATAAGGATTATGCACAAATTTTGAGCTTGAAGATTGTCAATCGTCGCCTTGATCCGGCCGGCAAAGTGGTGAATTCAAGTGATGGAAAAGATGTTGTCGTTGATAAAACCAATAAGATCTGGATTGCCGGCAGCAAAGATCCAAAAACAAATGAACCAAACTACTACAGTTCAACGCAAGTGGATCCAAAAACTGGAACCATCACCATTGTTTATGGTTTGGTTAATCCAAAAACCAATGAAATTGAAAAACAAACCAAACTTCTACCAAGCGTTTGTGTGACAAACAATGATGGCGTTTTGTACACATCAACCGGTGAAGTTGATGAAGCAACACAAGAACCAATCTTTGCAACATCGATCATTGAACCAGAATCAAAGAATGTTGTTACGAAAGTATCACGCGTTCGTCCACAAACTGGTGAAATTGTATTGGTACGTATTGATTATCCAAAGGTGCAATTACCAACATTGTCACAAGAGAAAACAACACCAGTGAAACAAGTTGATGTTAAGACAACCACACATCAAGCTAAGCATGTTACACCACCAAAAGTGCCGACAGCATCCGTCAAAGTGGCAACGCCAACACCGCCAACAACACCAACAACTCAACCTTCCGTTTCTGTAACGGCCACTTCAACTGTGACACCTGCACAAAAACAGCAGTCAACCGCTACAGTAACTCCAAAACAACCATCGCCACCAAAGGTTGTCGCACAACCAGTAAGCAAGGCTCAACAACCACCTCCACCACTACCACCACAACAACAGCAACAACAACAACAACAGGCAACAGTTTTGGCCGGACCAATTGCAGGTTCAAGTGAACCAGTTGCAATCGTACCTCAGAAGAGTGCAATCATTGAAATTGTTACGATCATCGGTACAGCTGGTCCAGATGGTAAGGTTGATTTGTCAAAGGCACAATTGGAACGCTCACGAGGTATTTTGAATGTACAAAATGGAACGATTCAAACAAAATACGGTTTGATTAATCCAGCCACAAAAGATGTCATCGTAACCGATAAAACTGGCAAAGCAACGACATCAAAACCAATTACGATCGATGCATCGGGTCAAATTATTATTGCTGGTGGTGTTGATAGCAAGGGTAAACCGGATAACAATCTCCGTCATATAATTAACTTGGGTCCAGAAGTTGAATCGCCAATCGTTGAGGTAACCGCCATTTCCGGTAAATATGATGCAAAGAAAGGAATTATCGAGCCAAAAACGGCCGTGGTTGACGTTACTCATGGTCAATATGATCCCGATAAAAATACAATCACCACGAGCTATGGTGAATTGGACATTCCATCAAGTACAATTACATTCAAGCATCCGAAGAGTGGCAAACTCGAAAAGAAAGATGTTAAATTTGATCCAACAACCGGACAAGTCATTCTACGAAATGAAGTCAATCCAAAAAATAATAAATTGGACAAAGATTATGGCCGAATTATATCGTTGCGCATTGTTCATCGTAAAATTGATCCAACCACTGGTAAAGTATCAACACCAACCGTTACTGGAAAAGATATTATCGTCGATCCACAAACCAATCAATTGTGGATACCGGAAAGCAAAGATCCCGTCACAAAGGAAACCGTTTATGTTTCAACACAAGTTGATCCAAAAGGTTATATCATTACCATTTATGGATATTTGGATCCAAAAACAAACCAAATTAAAAAACATACGGCCGTCGAATCAAACATCACAAAAACAGACGATTCGGGACAATTGTTCATTGCCAGCGGTGATGTTGACGAAAATGGTGATCCATTGTTTGTCGCTTCACAATTGGATGACGAATCAAATGAAGTATTCACAAAAGTGGCTAAAGTTGATCCAAAAACTGGAAAATTGGTTCTCATCAAGATCATTTTGATTACGAAAAAGGACGAACAAGGCATACCCAAAGAGGTGCCAGCAAGTGAAGTTGTACGCGATCCATCATCGGGCGCCATTCGAAATGTTTTCAATAAAACGGTTTATGTATATAACATGGTCGATCCAATCACCGGCGAAATTATTCAGGTTGATCCAAATGATCCGTAAGTGCTTCTTGTTTAAATATACATTTGATTCTCTTTGTCTTCGATTCGTGGTTCGGTTTGAATATAGTTTTTGTTTTTGAAAATATTCAAGATATTTTGCCAAAGAAAATGATTATATCAATCGGTGGAATCGAAGACAAAGAAGGTCACCTTAAAAATGTTATATTTAAGCAAAATGCTAAAAAAATTATTACCAATGTTTGAATAGACGAATTGCTGGTGCTCGTACAACTGTAACGCAGACAATGACATTGTCAGGTGAAATTGATCCAGTCACTGGCAGAATAAAGACCGAATATGGTCACATAGATCCAGAAACAGGTTAGAAAATATACCGTTGTCAACTTTGAACACAGCTCACATCACATTTGTATTCACTTGGCTTGATTTGAATCACGTCGTTGAAAAACGATCTTCAAAGTGAGCAACCTAAAATTCAAAAAAAAAAAAAATAGAAAAAATGTGTGAATTGTGAATGTGATTGAGTTTTGTACAAAGTGGATTCGGCCATATAATTCAACGACAGTATCTAACTCGATGTGTGTGTATGTGAAACACTGAAAATTAGGTGATATCTCAGAAGAAACGGCAGTCACAGATCCAGTTACAGGCAAAAAGATTTTGAACTATGCCCAAATTGATCCAACACATTTTGGACGCGAGGTTACAATTCAAACCACAACGACGCCGATCTCACGTGATCAATTCTTCGAAGGGATCAAACATTTGGGACCATCGGTTGTAAAACAAGTTACAGAAGGAGCTAGCTCCGATGATGACGTTGAACAATATGGTGATGATAATGTACGAACAAAAACAACCACAACAACGACACAAAAATCAAATACACCGACCGTCGTTAAAACGACAACCAAACAGGTGCTGACGAAAAATGATGGCGGTGTAACACACAATGTTGAAGAAGAAATTCACAATTTGGGCACCGGTGAAGTTTCGTTTTCTACACAAGAACACAAGGTATACATCGTAAATTTTATATAAAAAAAATCAAACAATTTTGTGTAACGACATATGCTCAAGCGGATCTATAAATATATTAATGGCATCGATTCTTCGACAGAAGAAACTGTTTAACGTAGAACTACATCACTCTTACCGATTTATGCATTATGGATTGAAAGTTCTCTCACTAGAACACTATTTTTTTTTTTTAATTTTTCATACCCGAAAACAAAACCCGCTTGTCATATTTGTTACAACAAATCTATCTATCTGTCAATGTTTAGAGCCTAAGAGCTTTTATCAATGGATGAACAAACCAAAAATGCGTTTACTAACACTACAAATAGTCTCAATCTATTGCTTTTGGATCGATCAGCCTATGTCCATGTCTATGTCTATAAGTTAATGCATTTCCTAAATGCATTTTATATGTAATGTTTCTGATATGGTACGATTATTATCATTGGTAGAATGTCCGTAGAAATAGCCTTTGTCACTTACGTGTAGTTTTGAAGTTCGCTTTTATTCACAATCCATCATTCTAATATCATTTCGATAATGACATTTAAAAAACCTTCCCCTCAAGTTCAAAATTTCAATCAAAACCTCGTTTTATTCATTTATTTTTATCGACGATGCTTTGTTCGTTTTATTTTATGAAAATCTTTAGCTTCACATTATTGTTTTTTTTTTTGGGAAACACATAATTTAATCAAACATAATTTTGAGGACACAAATTCATTACATGATAGATTTAGATATATATCGCATGTTTGGAAAGTATAAATGTGTAAGAAGCATGAATTGTGATGTACTTGTATGCACTTGGATAATTTTTGAAGCATTTTTCAATAGAATGTTGCTTGTAGTTGTTTTAAAAAAAGTAGTTGTTGTCTATGAAAACCTGGTCATTGAGTTGTCTATTCTACCGTCTTCGAGCGAAAGGTTTGTAAAAAAATGACA